ACACAGCAATCAAAACCAGAGTAGAATGTCATCTCTGCATGTTAGTAAGGCTCTTATCAAGACGACAACAAGAGGGGCTGGAGAGGCAGTTCAGTGGTTAGGAGCAGTAGCTGCTCTTCCAGACGACACCAGTCGGATTCCCAGCACCCACAACCATCCATAACTCCACTCCCAGGGGATCTGACACCCTCTTCTGGACTCACATGAGTACCAGACAAGCAAGTAGTGCACAGACATACAAGCAGGGAAAGCACCCATAAACATAAAATAAATTTTTTAAATTAAAAACACAAAAAGCTGAAAAGGGGATAAACAGAAAGGGACCCCTGCAGGCTATCAGCAGAAATGCAAATTGGTACATCTATTACTGAAAACGGCAGGTGTTCCTCAAAACACCAAAAACTGCTATTGAAGTGGACAGATCTAAGCTCGCGGTCACACAGACAGCCCTGCTGAAACTGAAGGGCTGATATAACAAACTGACTAGGTATGGACATAAGAACAAGCTCTGTAGGAGGCAGGAGCATCTGAGGGCAGTGGGGAGACAGGAGAGGATGGGGCTAAAAGTGGTCACTTGCATTATATACATATATAAAACTGTCAAAGACAAATTTAATTAAGGCAAAAAGACTGAAACTAGAACTACCATGACTCAGGAAGCCCTGGCCAAGTAAATATCCAAAAGAAACTGGCATCTTGGAAAGACACCTGCACACTCGCATCCATTGTAGCACTGTCCACAACAGCCAAGACACATGAACAACCTAAGTGTCCGTCAACGGATGAATGAATAAGAAGTCGTGGCTATAGATTCACAATGGATTATCACTCTGTCATTTAAAAAACAAATAGCTTGGAAACTGAAGAGGAAGCTCAGTGGTTCGATGCCATGGACTTACATGAAGGCTCAAACTCAACTGCAACTCATGTTCCAGGGATCCAACACCTTCTTCTGGCCTCTACTGACATCAGGTACACACTCGGTACACATACAAACACACGGGCAAAACACAATCAATTCTTTCCATTTTTTTCCAGTCTTCCAACTTTACTTTTTTAGAGACTGTTTTTTGCTACATTACTACACTGTCCTGGTGGTCACCAAACGTGTGACTCTTCTCCCTTAGACTCCCAAGCTGCTGAGATAACAGACATACGCCTCAATATCCAGCTCACATTTCTTTTTTCTCCTCTGAATATTTCATAGGACAGCTTCTGACTCTCAAGCAGCATCTGAACTTACTATTCCCTGGGGAAGAGAAACACTGTCTCCAGGGGCAGCTGTCCAGGAGACACTGAGAACCACCTCCTGGCTAGAGCCTACAAGCAGGCGAGCAGTGCAGACCCGTGCTAGACGCTGGGGAAGCAGCCCCTCAACACAAAAGGAGAACACAAGCGAGACCAGAAGAATATGAAGAAGGTGTTCCAAATGGAGATGTTTTAAAGAAGAAAGAACTTCAAGGCAACAAAATGAAAAACTGAAATCTGCACAGGAGGCAGGAAAATAAACAAACTGAAAAAATAGAAAGCAGAGCAGAAACTCTGAGGACAAAGGAAAGAGTCATGAGGGAAAACTTGGAAACAACACAGAATGTTTCCTTGAGATCGAGAGGTAACATTTAGTGGAAGACAGCATTTTATCCCCAAAACTGTCAGCCAAGTAAGAGAATAAACTAAGGAAAAGGAGGGCTGGGGAGATGGCTTAGGCTTGGTCAGTAAAGCAACTGCTCTGTGAACGTGAAGATTTGAGTTCATATTCCCAGCACCCATGTGACCTGGACTCTGGGATGACAGGAACAAGCTGATACAAGTTCACTGGCCAGCCCCATCCCAGTCTAGTTGAATCAGCGAGCACTGGGTCCTGCAGAGAAACTCTGTCTCAAAAAACAAAGTGTGGAAAGGAGGAACTGAGGAAAATATCCAACGTGACCTCTAGCACTTCCACACACACAGGCACACAGGCAAACACACACACACATACACAGGCACACATGCAAACACACACACATACACAGGCACACATGCACACACACACATACACAGGCACACACACACATACACAGGCACACATGCACACACACACACAGGCACACATGCACACACACACACAGGCACACATGCACACACACATACACAGGCACATATGTAAACACACACATACACAGGCACGCATACAAACACACACAGACACACATGCACACATACACATACATAGGCACATATGCAAACACACACACATACACAGGTACGCATGCAAACACACACACTGGCACACATGCACACACACACATACACACCCACCAGAGACAGACACCGAAGCTTTACCATGTAAGCCATAGCCTCACAGCAATACACTGATAATGGAGATAGGTTAGTTTAGGATATGAGTTAGCCAAAAATACGTTTAAGCTATTGGCCAAACGTATTGCAAATAATATGGTTTCTGTGTCATTATTTCGGGGCTGAGCAGCTGGAAACAAAGAAGCAGCCTCCTACAACAGGGAACTGCATAGATTTGGGGGGAGGAGAAGTCTCGATTCACCAATATTGTAAATATGATCATAAAAATGCACTTGAAAATAATTGAAAGACATTTATTTTTTAAAGTTTCTATCCCTAATTAGTGAACTACCAAAGTCACAGGGCAGGTCAATACAGATTGGAAAGTAAAGGCATACAGAGCTTGTTAGCAATCCTTGGGTTCAATCTCCACTGTCACAAAAACAGTATTTTTAAAGAGTTAATTGATTTCTATTTCCAGGATCTAATTATAAACAATGGAAACCAACATTCCAAAAATAGCATCATTTATAACAGCTTTAAAAACAGAAGAAAATACTGCACTAAAAAAATAACAAAATATGCATAGGATCTGTATTAAAAATAAAGAACACTGACAAAAAAAATAAAAAAATTATTCCTTTACAAATTCACCATTAAATCAAATACAATCCTAATCAATATGTAGCAGGACTGTTTTGTAGAGACTGAAAGCTGATTTTTCAAATTTATATGTAAGAGCAAGAAACCAGAATACCCCAAAAAATATGAAAATGAGAACAAAGCCATTGGTCTCAGACTATTTTTTAATTGTGTATGTGCACACACAAGTGTCACATGTATGAAGGGGCGTGTGTAGGACTGCAAAGGGATCTGATCCCAGGGAGCTAGAGTTACAGGTTTCTGTGAGCCACCCGACATGGGTCCTTTGTAAGGGCAGCAAGCGTTCTTAACTGTGAGCAATCTCTCCTGCCCCACTTAGAGCCTCGACTAGCTTTTTTTTTTGGGGGGGGGGGCACACTGAGACAAGATCTCTTTCTAAGTAGCCCTGGCTATCCTGGAACTCACCGTGTAGATCAGGCTGGCCTCAGTTTCAGAGATTCCCCCTGCCTCTGCCTCCTGAGTGCTGTGATTACAGGCATACGCCACCACGCTTGGCCCTCTGACAATAAAACTGCAGTAATTAAGGCAGAGGGATACACTGACAAGGACAGACAAATAGACCAGAGGAATCAGAGAATTTAGAAAAAGACTTAGACAAATACACGAACTAATTTGACAGAGGGCAGAAGCAATTTTGAGACAAAAGGACAATGTCCATAACACTATTATAATAATGCTGACCGCAGACATGAACCCTGATCTATGCCTAGAACCTTAACCAAGAGTAGCTCAAAATGGATCTCAGACTTACATCAACACGGTGTAAAACATTGAACAAGGAACAAAAGAGGAAACATCTAAAACACTGGATCCCTCTATAAGTTCTCAGGCATAAAACTGATCGTGGAGTCAAGAACATCCCAAATGATACATGGAGACTCAACATAATTAAAGCACTGGCTGTGTGGAACACACCACTATGAAAAAAGAAAGAAAGGAAGAAAGAAAGAAAGAGCTACAGACTGACAGAAACACTGTCCAATCACAGATGTCACAGAGATCCACAGCTGGAACTTCAACTGGAATTCAAGTTCCAAGTGAAGGGAAGGCAGGCAAGCACCTCCATATGTTAAAACAGAAAATGTATTTCTATAGGATGTATGCCTACATATAAGAAGGCTTGTGCCTGGTATACAATGAGATTTGTATCTCTGTCTTCTCAAGTATGGGGTATATTTAAGCAGACACCTTACTACAGAACACATAAGCATGCCACGTGCATAAAAAGCTACCAAAGCTGTGTTTTAAAAACACAAGACAGCACCACAAAGCTAATGCGATGCTTTTAAGAAAAAGACAAACAGAAAAGCAACTGGCAGTACTGTGTGCTGAAAAGAGTCTGGAACGGCTGATCCCAGTGCGTGCCTAGTGATGCAGAGCAACGCTATTCCCTCACAGACGCTCACAAATGGCAGAGCAGGAGCAGCTCCCAGCTCACCTCCGATGTACCATAAATAGGTGGAAAAAAATCTTTAGCAACATATCAGCAAATCAAACCAGCAGCATATTCAAAGGATGACACATGAGATTTACTGCAGGAGCACAAAAGTGTTTCCACATCAGAAGATTAATGCAATACAAAAGTATGAGTTGGAAAAGGTAAAATCTACCCGATTGTGCCCACCTCTGTGAGATTAGGCCTGAGGGGCGCCTGTGACACCGCCAACTTTACAGCTCTCCCGGTGCTTGGGCTATAGGAGCTGACAGAAGCTAAGTCAGCACCTACAGCATGCAAGGGGTTCTTTTCAGCACTAATGCAGACGCACAAAAGACAAGAAAGAATTCGACTCAGTAAATGTTAAAAACAAGCCTCACATAAGAAGGCAGGGAATCACTGTCAGAGGGTAAAAGGAAATGATCTCATTCTTATTCTTAAATTACGGAGGCATATTTTATACTTCCAAAATTAAATAATATGACAACAAATCTGCTAATATGTAGAAAAACTTAAACAGGAATATCTGACTTGACTTTCTGCCTTACTTTAGCTCTTACCAAAATATTATCATTCTTAAGACTAGCTGTTATAATTTTTGTTTTGACAGAATGCCCTGTACCTTGTGAGGACCCAGAATCCTCTGCCTGAACTTTTCAACCGTCTCTGGACCCATAGTCGACCAAGCGTTGGCAAAGGCTTCTGCTTTGTCTTGTGTAAGATGAATATTCTCCAGTTGCTGCTGAAGTGCTGCTGGTTTCAAGTTGTGGTACACTGCCTGTCAAAGAGGAGGAGGTACAGACATCCTCAGGCTCATGCAAAGACCTTGAGGGTTAGCAATACAGAAGTATTTAAAACAAATTAAATATTCCGTGTGTGTGTGTGTGTGTGTGTGTGTGTGTGTGTGTGTGTGTACGCGCATGCATAAATTCACAGCCTGTGGCATCAAGAGGCACTGGATCACTGGAGCTGTAGCTATGGTGCAAATGCTGGAAATTGAATTTGGGTCCCTGCAAAAGCAGTTAAGTGCTCTTAACTGCTGAGCCATCTATCCTATCCCCCGCACCAAAACAGTTTAAATCAAATAGACTCCATGGCCCTCTTGCAGGCATTTTCAACAGTTCTATTAGTAACAATATACAAAACAAGAGCTAAAAAAATCATAGTTAGTGGTCCTTGGACTTCCCACAGGGCAGAGAGCCCTGATTGCTTTTTGGGCTGACGAGGGAGGGGGACTTGATTGGGGGAGGGGGAGGGAAAGGGGAGGCGGCGGTGGGGAAGAGACAGAAATCTTTAATAAATAAATAAATTAATTAATTAAAAAAAGAGTATTGCTAGCTAGCTTATATCGTTGGTTAGTCCATTACTATTATTTTAAATTTTACCANGGGCAGAGAGCCCTGATTGCTTTTTGGGCTGACGAGGGAGGGGGACTTGATTGGGGGAGGGGGAGGGAAAGGGGAGGCGGCGGTGGGGAAGAGACGGAAATCTTTAATAAATAAATAAATTAATTAAAAAAAATTAAAAAAAAAAGACTAAAAAAAAAATCATAGTTAATAAGCCTAACTTGCTCAGGCTAAATGTTTCGTTTTGCTTGTGGTTAAATAATACTAAAACTACTTAGTAAAGTTTATTTCTAAGTTTTAATTATTAAATAAATACATTTTAATTATTAAATGATAATTAAAGTTTTATTATCTCACATAATTAAAGTTCACAATCGTCTCAGCAAATAGACTTTTCCCAAGGAGTCCTCAAAACTACCTTTATCTACCAACTAAATTTTCACATAACAAAAGGAAATTCTAAAATAACTCCAACAATACCTGTTCTGTTCCTACATTAACTGAGGACAACTTTCCCACAAACCCCATCCTGTGATGTTCTGTTTATCCTTTTTCTACTGAAGGTTCACCAGAGCTTAAGAACCAGTCGTCATTATAATCCACGCTCAGGTTTGAACATGAAGTGTCCCTCACAGGTTCAGGCGCCTGAGCACTTGGTGTCAGCTAGCAGCATTCTCTTTGGAAGACACAGAACCTTTTAACAGGTGCTCTCATTGCCCCAGCCACAAGGGTTCCCACCTCGATGATTTCCCAAATGGATTATATTCCCTGAAACACCACCAACAAAATAAATCTTCAGATATCTAACAAACAAGAGAGGAAGGTAGTATAAGGAGTGGGGCTGTTGTGACAAGCCTGACCGTGGGGTTGGCAGACTTTTGTCATCAGTATATGGGAGGAATATAGGTGAAAGAGTTTAGTCACTGGCTAGGAAAGATCTAGAACACTGAAGGAAGAACATAAGGTTGACTCTGAGAGAAATGCCGACAGGAAGGGCATGCTCAAGCGGTTTCAGAGACGAACAAGGACTCTATCAGAAGCAGAACTCCAAGCCACTCGTGTTACTTCCTGACGAGCCATGTGGCTACATCCTACCTGTGTCCTAAAATCTGAGTGAGGCTACATTAAAAAATAATGGGCTGGAGCTGAAGAGAGGGCCCAGCAATTTAAGAGCACTAACTGCTCTTCCAGAAGATGTGGGCTCAGTTCCCAGCACCCCATGGCAGCTCACAACTGTCTGCAACTCTAGTTTCACACCCTTTTCTGGCCTGTGAGGGCACAAGACATGCACATGGTGCACAGAAATATATGCAGACAAAACACCCATAAACAGAAAGTAAAATAATTGATTAATATGTTTGGCGATGGAAATTTCAAGGCATTATACAGTCTGTGACATGGTTACTGCTCACTGCCCTTAGCCAAGTTTTATAAGAAAAAGTAGAGAGAGAAAACACGGAAAAAAGAAGCTGGAGCACAACCAGAATTAAGGACAAGACAGGCATGTTGGATGCATACACAGTGGCTCTGATTGCTAGAGGCTAATGAGATTAAGGAGAACCCTGGTACTGCACACTTTGCACTGGGTCGTCAGGAACGATGTCCTGGGAACAAGATGTCACCCACTGAAGGCTCTAGGGCATAAAACTGAAAAACTCACAGTGCCTAAACAGAGACCACTCCAGAGCACACAGCTGGAACATGGTTGTCTGGGGTAGTGGTCTCTCACACAAAAGATGTTGCAGCTATGGTAAATGGACGCTAAGCTACAGTTCAGACCTTGTGGCAGAAACTGGCAGCAGCCCCCACACGGTACTGGCTCTGCCGGTATGCAGAATGCAGGAGTTACACCACTGTGGGCATTCGCAGAGGTTCCAGAAAACCAATGAGGTCAGACAAGGTGTAGCAGGGTGAGACTCCCTGTATGGAGGGCCTGACTAGGCTGTACATGATGTTGACGATGAACCTGAGGTGGCATCCACGGAGGAAAGCTGCAGGTGCCAAGTGAAGCGGGGTCAGGATAGAGGCCCATATGTGCCACACGACGCAGAGGTGTGGATATAGGGCTGCCTAAGTCCACTGGAACCCAAATGATGCCACTGTAAGCTCCAGACACTAGACATGGAACTGCAGAGGTTGGTGTTTCCCTGGTGTGTGCCGGTCTTGCGTGGGTCCACTTTCCATTCCTCCTCTTTAAAACAGGAATCATTACCTGTATTATTGAACATTAAAAATATGTAACTTGGTGCTTGTTTAACAAGTTCTCAGAGCTAAGAGCCTGCTCTGAGTTTCAGAAGGGACTTTGATCTTTGGACCTTTAAAGAGCTTTAACTTAAGACTACGGGGATTGTCTTAGTTAGGGTCTATGGAAATGCCATGACCACAGCAACTCTTACAAAGGGAAACATTTAACTGAGGCAGTGACTTACGGTTTCAGAGGTTTAGTTCACTATCTCCATGGTGGGGAGCACGGCAGCTGGGAGTACAGCAGCAAGCACATAGACAGGACGCTAGAGAATTCTACACCTTGAGCCAAAGGCAACAGGTACTGTCCTTTTGTTTACACTGTTGCTGCCTTTTAAGCTACAGCTGTCCTACCAGCAACTGCAACTCCACAGCTACCAGCAGTTCTGCTGCAAAAGCTGCAGCCTGAGGGAACAGAACTCCCTCAGGCACTGACTCTTTCAAAGCTACAAAGGGAATTTATCTAAATCTCTGTCCCTCTACAGAAATCGAGAGTAGAAGGTTGAGGTGGAATTCTACGCCTCACAGAGGCTGAATAGCTAGTAGCTCACCTCCTCAGTTTCTCAAGAAGCCCTCATTCTTCTCCTCATCCCTACTTAAAACCCTTCTCCACCCTGGCTCTCCCCACAACTTCCAGTCAGCTACTTGCTGGCGCAGCCTCCTGACTGCAGGTGAATTTTATTTAATCAAACACATCTTTGCATCATTAAACAAATGTTCCAGAGCATAAACAAAAGTGACTCACCTTAAAACAATATTCTACAACAAATAGGAAGTAAACTGTCTCACTGGGCATGCCTTGAGCATATATGAGCCCTCAAAGCCCGCCTCCACAGTGACATACTTCCTCCAACAAGACCACACCTACTTCTCCTAACACCTCCCAACAGTGCCACTCCCTTTGAAGGCCATTTTCCTGAACAGCTACAGGGCTGTTTGGATTTGGACTTAATTCTTATTTCTGTATGAGATGTGATGAGCGTGTGGAGGCAAAGGATGGACCGTTACAGCTTCAGTCTGAAGGCTTCCCCACAGGCTGGTGTATTTAAAGGCTGGGTGGCTAGCTGGTGTCTGTTTTGGGAGACTGTGAACCTTTAGGACGGGAATCCTTACTGTGCCACTGGAGAGGGGGCCATAGGGGTTAGAGCCCAGCTCCAGCTGCTGGGCAGGCTCCACACTTCCTGATCTTCAGAAACTACGAGTACTATACCTTACCTTCCTAACTCCATGGACAGGAATGTCCATGTAAACGTCCCCATGTCGTCTCACTCCTCTCTGGATCGAACTGTAAGTCAAAATACACCCTTCCTAAAGTTGTTTCCTCAGGTGTTTGCCCTGACAACATACCATCTATCGCCTCCTTCAGGTGGCGCCAGCTGCCTGACAGCGTGTCCTAAGAGTGCCTGCTGCCGACAATGCCCATCAAGTGCAGTACTGCTAGATCTTTTATTTCACAAATATCCTATCTAATAAACTGATAGGAATTTATTAAAACTCTACGTTAAGTTCAGCTGTGTGCTAGGCTTATAAAAGAGGTGCAGAAGATAAGATTCTGGCCCATAATATATTCAAATCTATGGACGGAATCCAAACTGACCCGTGCGAAGTAACGGAAGACTAACATGTGCCCTGCTGTAAGGGGCAAAGAAATACAAACAAGGGACAGTGAACAGACGACGCGATCCAGACTGAAGTGACCGAACTTGAACAGAAACAATGAAATGAGTTTGAGAAGAAACGGTACAGAAAGGAAATTCAGCAGTTAAAAAAAAAGAAAAGAAAAGAAAAGAAAAAAAAAAGCAACATCATTTCTTCCCTGTATCCTCCTAATCAAATGCATGCCAGCAAATCACCTGTTCAACTTCTACAATGGAAAGTATTCATATTTCCAACTATACCAAGAAACAATGAGTTAAAATCAGACGAAGGCCCAATTCACATTGCTATAATATTTACTACTACATCATATTTACTTTTGCAGAATAAAATACTACATAAAAATATAGAAAGCCACAGATATTAAAGTCATGAAAATATACAATAAGTAGGAAATTAAGGCAATAAAAATACCTGCTCCAAAACAAACGATATTGTTTCCAGAACCAGGTGCAGTTCTTGTTTCTCTAGAGAGAACGCAGCCTGAAGTTTCTCCTCCTCTTCTTCACTGAAGCTGCTCTCGGCCTACAAACACAGAAGCAGTAAGCCCAGAGTGCGTTCACAAGACTCACGTATACAGGAAAAGGGAACCTAAGAGGAAAGGTAAGTCCACGGTGAGAGCGAACTGGTGTGCTTATAATCTATATGAAGACACGCATTCTGAACCACAGTGAGTGGAATGAAACACGCTTTCCATGGTGACGTGACTGACTGATGGCTGGAAATCTGAGCTGAGAAAAGGACGGCTTTTCTGCTTCTATCTTAGGCCACTTCAAACATCTGTGCTTCGTCTCTGATATCTGGTCTTCTTAACTCTCTCACTTCATCTCACTAACAGTCACTACTTGAGACTGCTGCCCCCCATCATAGCAGAACCTCAGTCCCCCACTTCACCTTCACTAGTCTGGATGTTCCTGGTGTGCCTGGTCAGGCACCCTGACGGTTGGCCCCGCAGAGAGAAGCACACAGCAGTGACATCATCAACAGGTTTCACGTGGGGACCTAAATTCTCTGCCATGGGGTCTGACAGGGAGGGTTTTTTTGTCATATGAGTGGTAACCACTAATTAAGATGACAGGCCACAAATGCCCGTTTCTGAGTTCTCAGCTACAGAAGCTGTGTGACTTCCCTCAGCTCGTCCCAATGCAGAGGTGCTGGCGTGCAAGATGAGGCACACTACAGACTGTTCCTGCTACTGTGATTCTGCCTGTCCCACTGCCTACAGCACAAACCTACTACAGGCGTGAACTTGGAGCTCCTAGGCTGGCGTTCCATTTCTCATGAGAAACAAAAAGGATTAACTCCAAATGCATACACTGAGAGCTATATAGGCAAGGAAAGGCAAGACTCTTGAGGCTATAGGTAGAAAGACTAGTGAAGACGTTTAGGGATTTGGGTGTCTTCTGAGAAACGAGTGCTTGCAACACAGAACTACAGTGAACTGACAATCAACTGAACATTCTGGAAGCAGAGAGAAGAGAATAGCATAATTCTTGAGAGTGAGATTTGCAAAATTCTTAAAGGGTGATGTTCTCTCGGTGAAGCAGGGAACAAGGACATTGGGAAGTATGGAGAGGGATGTTTATACAATACATGGTTGAAAGGGCCCTGGCACACTGCAGGGGCTGTGCACTGCCCAGTGTGATTGCAAGTGCAAAGCAGGGAGAGCACAGGACACCAAAAACACATGTGGTATACAACATGCAGAAAAAGCCATAAACATTAAAAGACTAGAAATACAAAAATGTAAAAAAAAAAAAAAAAAAAAGATCAAAATCAAGAACACTATGAGTAACAGATACTAGTCCAAAACCAGGAAACAATAAGAATCTAAAATAAAACTACGTGGAGAATTTGATTTGAGAACAATTCAGAGTGAGCAGGCTATGGGCCTGGAGTTGTCTCCTGGCCAATAAAGAAAAGAAAGGTAAGAGTCTTGAAATAACTTAATGTTGATACCTACAATCACGCAGAGCATGTAGCAGGTGCTCCACGAACATGGCCAATGCAATTTTATAGCCCAATAAAGAACATGAGTTGAACTGGTGACCAAACAACAGCTTAATTACCAAGCATCCACATGGCCAAACCAACTGTGCCCTTGAAATAAAAGCAAAGAGAAAAATCAAAGATTAAATGCTGTGGAATAGTCCTGCTGTACACTGTAAAAATGTGTTGATCTCATTGTTAATAAAAGGTTGACTGGCCGGTGGCTAGGCGGGATTTTTGGGACAGAGGGAATGCTGGAAAGAAGAAGGGCAGAGACTGAAGAGTCTTGAGAGATGCAGAGAGAAGCAAGGTGAACATGCCATGCTGAAAGGAGGTACAGCCACGAGGCATAGGATAGATAAGAGATATGAGTTAATTTAAAATGTAAGAGTTAGCTAGTAACCAGCTGAGCTATCAGCTGAGTATTTATAATTAATATTAAGCTTCTTTGTGGTTATTTGGAAGCCAGCTGATGAGACAGAACAGCCTGACAGTCCTGACAAAAACTCCACCTACAGTTAGAAGAAATACTGACTGAATTGTTTTGAAGATTTATTGATTGTTTGTATATGTATATGTATGGTGAAGAAACACTGACTGAATTATTTCTAAGATTTATTATTTGTTTATGTATGGATGGTGAAGAAACATTGACTGAGTTATTTTTAATTTATTATTGTATATGTATGCATGGTACCTGCATGACTTTATAGGCACCATATGCATGCAGGAGCCCAAGAAAGCCAGAAGAAGGCATCAAATCCCTGGAAGTGGAGTTACAGGTGGTTATGAGCCACTAAGCGGGTGGTAGGGACCAAACACAAGTCCTCTGCAAGAACAGTTCGTGTGCTCTTGACCACTGAGCCATCTCTCCAGCCCTGGGCTAACCATCTTCACCAGGAAGAATGCCATCAGCCTTTTCCTAGAGCATGTTCCGTAGAACATTATATAAAAAGATAAAACGATTCCAAAATCAAGCCTTCGTCCTTAAACATATGACCCAAACAACAGTGTGCAAAATATCCTGGAAGGCTCCACTTTGTTTTTTGGGTTTTTTGTTTTGTTTTGTTTTGGATTTTTGAGACAGGGTTTCTCCGTAGCTTTTTGGTTCCCGTCCTGGAACTGGCTCTTGTAGACCAGGCTGGCCTCGAACTCACAGAGATCCCCCTGTCTCTGCCTCCCCAGTGCTGGGATTAAAGGCGTGCGCCACCACCGCCCGGCAAGGCTCCACTTTTTAAAAGTTAATATGGAATACAAAGTTTCCCAAACTTGACCAGAGAACATTATCGAATCTTCCACAGATCCTGAGAACACACTAGAGAACAATGTTTCTCACAGTTCTCCAAATAATAGCAGCATGCTTCAGGGGCACCAGAGGGGTCACAAGCCACAGGAATAAGCGAAATGCAAACCTTCAGGTGGAGCTTTTGAAGAATTCGGCTAAGAAGGCGCGGGAATCTTCCGGTATCTATTGCGTTTATCAGCGGCACTGCTTTCTTCATGCTAAACAAATTTGCAAACAAAGTTTCAAAGTAAGCATTTGAACGTATTTGCCGTTACTGTCTATACATTTTTATGTCAACAACCCCGGTAGCTGCGTCCTCTTAGCGACATGAGTGACAGCCAGGTAATCGATCCAAGTATTTCCAAAAAGAGCCCTCTCCCCAAAAGCATTCCCGTTGAAAAGTACATTTGACAATTTTCTCTTCCCAGGCAAATTGCTGGGGAAGGTACACACCCTGTCAGGGAACGGGTGTAATTGAGCAGTGGGAAGGAATGCTACCACTTAATCCAAAATAAACTCTGAAAGGACTGTGAAAAAGGATGAAGCAAATTAGGGGATGAAGGCAAAACCATAAAGGATAATGATGGCGCCTAACGGTGGGGGAGAGGGAAGACAACACACGTGCAGCTTCTTTAAAACCCGTGTCACCTGTAATAGTCAATTTCAAATTGTGCGGTAAGCACAGCTGCGCACACACCGACTATGCCTGCACAGCGTTGTGTTCCCCCAGGACAAGAGTTTCAAGAAAAGTGGCTTTTCAGATCCGCTCACAGAAGGAAAAACTTTAAAATACCGACTGTCTTCTTCCCGATGCGGGAGCGTTGTGTTCACCCTTCGATATTTGCCTGCAAAAATGAGTGTTTCTTCTGCCTCCACAAATTCAGTCGGGTTTGGCGGAAATAATTCTGTCTTAATGGGGGGAAATCTGAGCAGGGTATGGTGAGGTGGCTAAACAGTGCCAGCTTGTTGGGAGGGGAAGACTGCGCGGATCTTGGGTCCACGAGTTTGAGGCCAGTCTTGGCAACATAGTAAGAATCACTCGGCCAACGAAAATCTTTTAAACTGGGGTTTGCATCACCACCAGAGCCAGCCAGTCTCAGGTAACACACCGAGAAACCTAAAAACTACATAAAATGAAAACACTAGTAATGGTGTCAAGACTGGCTAAATATGTCACTAACGCCTTGGTTTCAAGGGGCTATTAACACGTGTTATTTGTTAATCACCCCGTAGTACCAGCGTGTACCTTTGTCACCATCATTGGGTCTGAAATAACATTAAAAATACAGACTATTCTCCCAAGAAACTAGACAAAATTCAGGGGGCATCTAGTGACTTCTACTACCCGTCAGTCTCTCCGGTACAGAACAAGGCAGCCAAGGCTCCCTGCAAACTTGGAGCAAGAATCACTCCAGAAAGGAAGCACGCTGCTTCCACGCCTCTCCCCCCCCCCCGCCCACGCCCTCTTCCACGCCCCGCCCACTCTCCACCACCGCCCGCCCACCCTCCTCGCCCCGCCCACGCCCTCCTCCGCGCCCCTATCCTCGCCGCTCCACTCCGGCTCCGGCTCCCGACCGCAGTCGACCGCACCGCAGCACCAGGCGGCGGCTGCACCCCCTGCTCCCGCCCCAACAGGTTACCCCCGCGAGGCGGGGCGCTCAGCCTGACCGCTACCTGGGACTCTCCGGCAAAATCACCGCCGCGGACGCCGCCATCCTCAAAGCTTCCTCGCCCGCGCGACTGTCAGCTGTGCACAATCCAGCCAATGACAGCCAGCCTGACGGAAGCCCGGAAGGGCCAAATCGTGCCGCCGGGGAATTTGCGCTAAAGAGCTGCAGCGAGCAGGACTTCAGGAGGCTTGTGTGTGGTCCCGAAAGGAAGAGGAAGATCATGGTCATTTCTATCATTCTGATCGTTTCGGAATAATGGCTGTACATGTATATTTATGTTTATTTATATATCTGCATCCTTGGCTAGGCGTATGTGTTTATGTGTGCGTTTTATGCACGTGTATTCATGGCTGTGCATGCACAGACATAGTATATGTAGCAGTTCCTTTTTTTTTTTTAGACTTAATGGAGGATTTAAGCAAGCTTTGAGGCGTCTATGGATAGAGAAATGGGCCAAGGAGCATCCCCTGTCAGAAGAAGTTAGGCTACCAACTCTATGCTATTGACCCTCCTGTGCCTGCATCCCCAGAGTCCTCTGCAGGACACAGCTCTGGCCTTGGACATGTTGGTTCGATTTCTCCTACAGTAGATTCCTTGAGTACCTAGCATTGAGGTAGGCACTGGAGATTCAAACAGGCAAAATAAGTTTTGTCAGCAGTTAAAATGGAAAAGTATTTGTTGGGACTGTCTCGGGGCCCAGCATAGCATAGCACAGAAGAAAGGTAGATCACCGCGAAGTGTATAGTTAAGTTTCTCACAAGAGAGTAAAGAGACACTACATTTTCAGTAAAACCTTTATCTGCCTTAGAAAAAATAGGAGTGGGTTAAAGGGTTGGGGTAGCAGAGTAGGGCTGGGAAATAAGAAAAGCTTCCTGAACCTGCAGAGGTGAGGAAGGGTGTTCCAGCAGAAGAGAGTGAGCAAAGGCTGAGGAATAGAACGATTTGACTGGTCTGTCAGAGACAGTCTGGAAGCAGAGCTAAAAGCAGCTTGGATGGGGCGCCTTTGGCCTGTGCACTTCTCTGTAGAAAAATGGGTAGCCATTAAATGTTAGGGGTTTGAGCGTTTGTTTGTTTTTAGGATTATGGTCAGATGATGGTCTGATTGGAAGAGATAAAGGAGAAACTCCAGGAAGTGACTGCGGTAATAATCATAGCAATCAGACCCTGTGAGGGGGAAAGGCACAGCGCATGGGGCAGAGTTACATTTCCATAGTAGACTGTTGGCAGGAGCTGGCAAAAGAAGGAATTTAATTTTCCTTCTAATTATGTTTCGCTTAAATTATTATTTAAATTGGTTGGCATTCCTGGAGCAGCCCAACAACACTGTAACTGAGAGAAGCCAGATTGCAAATTAAAAGTGAATAATCCCCACGTGGATAATTGAGTCAATTATACAGTATGTTGAACACATACAAATACATTTAGTTCCACAACACGCCACACACTCCCCCAGTTTATGCATATCTGAAAGAGATGTATGTGTGAATCTACATAATTATGGGCCCGCGATCCAAACACAGATTGCCTTACCTGGCATGAGTTTAGAGGGTGCAATTTCTCCTCGGTCTTTGGGACGTCTCCTTGTGTCTTGATTCATTGCTGAAGTCAAGCCACGAGTCAACCAGACCTGGTTCAGAACTCTAGGGAACTGCAGTCCTTGTGGGCTGTCTTAAAAAAACATAGCTGGGGCTTTCACAAAAGCAGTCAAATCCTGAGTCTGTGAAACCTCACACACCTACAACTACCTGATACATGATGTGGAGGCAGCAGTGATATCTGCTTCCCTGGACCGTGGTGAGGATTAAGGAATGCGCTTTGTGCCTTTGCAAGATGCTGTCCTTAGAGAACATACAAAGCACAGACCTCCAGAGTGCTGTTCAGAGCATCGCTTGCCGGTCACAGTGGTCTGCCATGCCAATTCTCTCCATATTACTGATGACTGATTGCCTACTGATATACGTTTTACTGTGAATAATTCCTCCCTTTGAGGGTGAGCCGCCCCTAAGTTGTTGCTACACTGTCTGGTGTATGGGCACGTATGTCCATAAGAGGGTCCTTAAAGTGGTCTACTGGTGACCACTTGCTGCAGAAGGGGATTGATGGGAGTCAGGATTCCGTAGCCACTCCCTACTCTTGTCCCCTGTACTCGTCAGCCCAGCTTCAGGATGGCTGCAGAGCCTGGGCCTGTTCCCACCAATCTACTATGGACCCCTAGCTCTCCTAAATGCTGCAACACTTCTCTAGTTTTCTGCCTTAATTGCTAATTTCAAGTCTACATTTTATTTGCATTCTGTGTTACCCCAAATTCTCTAGAAAAGTAGCCCAGCTACCTACACGCTAGTGCCCCATTAGAGGCTGCAATTTCAGGGGAGTGAGAAGTGAGAAGATGGAAAGGAAGGCAATGCAAAGTGATGCCCAATTGCATCCTGGCTGATTCTGTCAACCTGATGGACTCTAAACTTAGCTCAGAGACCAGTCATGCCCTTCCCTAGCCTTCCTCTGTGACCCCCTCTGAGCCCCACCCACACCACCCTTCACACCATGCCCATGTCTATGAGGGATCTAGATTAACTAAGGTGGGAATACCCACCTTGCACAGGGAATGCCATTCCTCATGCTGAGTCCTGTACTGTAGAAAGGAGAATGCAAACAACACCAGCATTCACCCCCTCTACCTTCTGACTGTAGACACAGTGTGACTAGCTACACAACACTCCTGCCTTCATAGCTTTCTGTCCACAAGGGACCGCCCTACAATGAACCAGAATAAACCCTTTCTTCTTTAAGTTGCATTAACTGGGCATTTTGATGCAGCAATGAGGAAGTGACTAACACCAACCAGACCAGAAACTGAAGTGTCCAAATACTTCTGGCATTTTTGTATTTGGTCAGCACAGAACCATGGACAAATAACCGAACTGCTCCCTTTCAGGATCCCTGCCCTAGGACTGCCCAGTGGTTTTCTAGGTCCTGTTGAATGGAAATGTAGCATTACCCCGTCCTTCTGGGAGCCTGCCCTTCATTCTGTTAGGAGCCTGGTCCTCTGGAGCACCGCCCCCTTTCCCCAGAGATCTCTTCTAGAGGGCCTTGTGTGTACTCACACTCCCTCCCTTCAATAGGCAGGATTTATATTTTTGCTATATAATAAAGTAGGCTAATTTCTGAACATTTCTTTCAGAAATCTCCAACCCTAAGTGAACTCTGGACACACCAAGGAGCCACTCCAAATTCATCCTTCCGCATCCCAGCCGCAAATGCAAGTGATTATCTTCAGAAGTTAAGCAGCTCCTGCTCACCAACCCCAGCAGTACTGTTACTGGACCCTGGGGGTTCTACGACCCTGGGGGTTCTACGACCCTGGGGGTTCTACGACCCTGGGGATTCTACGACCCTGGGGGTTCTACGACCCTGGGGATTCTACGACCCTGGGGGTTCTACAACCCTGGGCTCCAGAGAAACAAAGTGAGACACAGCGGTTGCCGGGGCGCTTGGAAAAATGGAGCCAAGAGCATCTGCATCACCCTTTGTTTACAAGAAGGGAAATGGTCTCAGACACTTTCATGGGGCCATGGGTAGAGATGCCAGTGTCTAGAGAAACTCTTCTGTCCACTCCTGTGTTCCTGGGAGGATTTGTAGACAGAGGTTGATTCTGCCTTCTCTTTAAAAACCACTTTCAGACCCTACATGAACACTCCAGTTTTGCAAGTGAAAAACTGATGGAAACTTGAAGGAGGAAATATCACAAATGTCTCTCCCTAGACACAAAGTACCTAGTGACTAGGGCAAACTGTGATGATTTGCGTGGATAGGCGGGGCTTTGGAAAGGCTCCTCCTTCCTGGTGAAGCACAGCTTTGGTACTTTTAAATTCATTTTTATTTCCTCTCTATATCGCTATCTTATAGCTTCTGAATCCCTGCAATTCAGTCTCACGGAAATGACCTTTTAAGGAAGCGTTCGATATATTTTGTCAAATTGGATGGTGTGTAGGCATTTTGTACTACGCTAGGCTGTCCTGCCCATGTCTAGCCAAGGAATATTGTGGAAGTCTATAATTCTATAATCCATCCTGAATGTGTCAGGTGCATCAAGCAAAGTATCACATAGGGCAGAATGGATACTACCTGCTCCCAGTGATTCATCCTAGTCTGAGGGCAAAATGCGAACCTACAGGGCATCTCTATCAGAAGCCGTAGTCTTTCCTTTTCTCCTTCCACCTAACCCTGAGTGCACAGCAACTCTCAGTCACAGCTGGCGGCCTGTTTTAGCTGTGGTGAGCACTTACCTCATAGGTGTGAGAAAATCAGTTGGAGTGTAACCAAAGAGCGCCTTCACGGATGGGAAACATGGCGCTGTTCATTCCATAATTTCTCCCCCATTCCAAAGGGCATGATGTTTTCAGAGTGTGCATTTTTATGTGTGAGTTGCGTGTGTAAGTGTACCTGTTTAGGTGAGATACTTGGAGAGTAAGGGCTGCTTTAACATGATCTGCTCTCTGAGTATTTGCACAACACGCTGTACTGTGGAAAGGAAACAAAACGCCTAGTAAAAGAAAAGAAAAAAAAAAGCGAAGCGTCGAAGCTGCAGGCTGCGTTTGCCAGTCAAAACCTCATTTGTGGTCACTTACAGTCATCAAGTGGAGGGTGGGGTAGAGGGCAAGATGGAAAACCTTAATTAAAATGAAGCCCAAATATGCTTTCTGATGCACAAATTGATCTCTTTCTAGTCTATTCTCAAGCTGGAAGTTGAAAATATCTGGAATTTTCACCTCTCCGTTTTCATTTGCACCTAGTTTCCTCAGTTCTACCTCCCACGGGCCACGGCCACTTAAAGACTGGGGTTCACACAAAATGTGTGAAAGCCTGACTGGTTTCTTCAGTAATTTTCACCCCTGAACATCATCTGAGAGGAATTAGATGGTGCTTCCCATGTAGACTTGGTAGAGTGGTTTTTTAAATCCACTAACTGGTGAAGGAAATAGGAACCAGTAAACATCACCAGCAGACATCGAGAAAACTAACAGCAAGAAATGGAGAAAAGTGGGGTCACTTACACACCAAGAAAAGAGACCCAGCTGCGTTGGCCACTAAATGTGCTCCTCAAGTCACCGAATCAGCGCTG